TCCGTCTCATACCTTGCTGCATATGGCTTTGTAAGGGCATGTTTTTGTCAAACCTGATTGTCAGTCAAGACTTTTTTGTCAAATTCGAACGATAGTCTTCTTTTTGTGTATCATATCAATTAGCTGAATAATACCACTTTAAAATCAAATTTCAACTTGTCGAACTAAAATCCATGTTCAGTGGACCTTTCGTTAATTAGCTTGCTTTCCCATGGGCGGCTAATATTTGCAGAAAAGTTACTCTGGGTCAGTCAGAGGTAAGCCAGGCAAGGAACAAGGTGAATTTTTTGTCGTTACTTTTTATTTCGTTTGCACAAATTACTTATTCATTTGCATGAATGCTTGGCGATTTATTGAGACTTTCTGGATTTCTCTTTACTTTTGTGCCAGCAGCCAGTTAAGTTTGCCAACTACCTGTAGGCATAAATTATGTGACAAAACAAGAGAAAGGTCTGCGGACGGATTCGTTCAGATTTCCACGAATAAACTAGCGCCTATTGCAGGTCCAGAACTGTTGATCCGGACTTCATTTAGTGAAAAATTCTCTCGAGAATGCACCAAGTTTCACCGCTATAGCAAATGAGATTGAAAGATAGACGATTTATGTAACTGGATTCTTTTCGGAATGCTTTTCATACAGAAACAGAGATACAAAACAAAAAGCAGCCGTAAATTCGAAGACAAATCATGCCTGTCCCCTGTGCAATATTGAATTTCTTTCAAGTCACGTGATTTTTTCCCCCTTTACAAGGACTGCAGTTCCTCACGTGACAGAAATTTGACCGGTGTGGGTAGGTTTTATAGGGGCAACATCTGTCCATATATCAGATCTTTACCACAAAAAGATGGATTGCAACAAAACCTCTTATATGTGCTTCGCATATCCGTACAAAATATTTCTTTGAAAGGTCTCCTTTTAGAATGGGAGTCATTACATTTTTCAGACACTGGTCTCTCGAGATCGATAGGCCTACACCTTTAGATCGACACCAGAAAAAAGTATCTCTCTGGCACGTAACTTTACCAAAATTGGCGTGCTGGTTGCTAATTTCTATGAAATTCTCTTTTTGTACTTATCAGACGTGAGCTCTTTGAATTCGCGCATGTACCGTGTCCCACAGCAAGGTAGTGTGACCACTGACTTGGTTTGTAATGCAGGCCCTTAGAAACCAGACTTATTTCCGAAGTTGAAAATCACTTTTCCAACTGTGCTTTCCTTTTGAAATTGAGCGAAGAAACACGGCCTGAACTCACCCCATTCCAGGCGGTGGTCATCTGGAAGCCCACGAGTCCCAACACCAAGACAACAGCAGCTAGCGATCTCAACATTCTTCTTTCGACTTCGGAAACTTGTCAGAGAGTCAATGGAGCCGACCCAAGCAGATACACTCAGCTCTAGGGAAGACGAGTGAAGCAAACCACCAGAATGCGGGAGTGGCCCAATGCAATGTATTTAAAAGCAAAGAGCTTATATCCCATAATATTTTGCGTGATGAAAATAGTACCATTATCCAACGGCCTTTCGTGCCACCGAGACCAAGTTTCATTGTCATTCTAAGGTCAAGTTTTTGGGGGATTACGGCCGTTTTCATTGGAGGCTATGCATGTCGGTGAATAGCTGCATATCATTGTCAACGTTTCCCTGCATGAAATTATAAATAGCGACACCCGAGAGAGATTGGTTTTATCTCACATCATAAGCTATGATGGTCACACTGTGCGTATTGTGTTACAAATAAAAAAAACACACTCACAAACTTTGTTGAGTCTGTAGTGCGTCCGATATTCTGTTTTTGATGTTTTACTGTGACAGACGGGACATTTCAAGTTCGAATATTAACTCCGTTACAGTATTGTTTGCTGTGCTCTGTAATTAACCTACATGTACGTCTCGTCAGTTTTGATGGTAAGTATTTCAAGGCGTGGTGGGGATAAGGGCTGGTGTTCGATGTCGGTATCGAGTGGTATTGGAACGAGTAAGATGACAATTCCTGTCACGCTGTACAAGAACGCCATCTGGTTGCTTCAAGGTTAAGAGGGAGAGGCAAGCAGAGTAAGCGAGCCGTGTTTTCACAAAGGCCAAACAAGTTCCTCAAGTTACAATGATGAAATTCTACTCTTTCAAAGTTAGGTGTGCCAATACAAGCATGGCATATTTAAATGGAAATAGAATGCACTTGAGTAATACCTTAGTTCTGTCGTAACAACTGTTCATAGTCAAGCAAAATGTGGGTTGAAACACTATCATGCCGACCAAACGTCGGACAAGCCGGTCGAGGACGTTCGAGGCGATCAACAAAAAAGAAGGTATAACATTAAAACTGAGATTGTGATTGGTAAATCCTTAAACTTTATTCGTGAATAAAACATTTTCTGGTATAATTCCTGATCCCCCCCACGCACAAGGCATCTCTCTCTTGTCTTTATACCTTGCCAGTCTGCAAACACAGCTGACATTGCTAGCATGTGTCCTCCGTGGCTCGTCACCAGCTGGCTATTCATGGGGTTGTTTTGGAAGAAAAAAATGGCACACCGAACCCCGAAACATTGAGAATATAAGTATTAGGATTCAAACGTAAGGTTGACATTTTGCTGGATGATCCAGGACCAATGAAATAATTCAGTTCATTGTAGAAGTATAATAAAATAATAGTAAATAACAAACTATGGAGGGCATTACGTTTCGATCCTAGCAGAATCTTTCTCAAAGGTATTAGTAAAGTTAATTTCGGGCAAGGTTTCAAATACTCTTATATCGTTACTTGAATTGAAGTGATGGTCTTGCGATTACTAGCCTACTACTTAGACTGTCGGAGCATCGCAAATGTACGCTTTGTCTACCTGCTCCATGATGTGTGCAGTGGCTGCCTCGGCCCCGCTTTGGAAGTTAACATTCCACACCCGCAGCCCACCGCGGTACTCACCAGCCAGCACCACGTAGGTCTCGGTTAGCTCGACGTCTGTACGCGAGCACTGCCACCCATCACTGCCGAACCTGGACACATTGACGGTCTTCGTCACTGGCAAGCCCCCTCCGCAGTCTTGTAAACGCACTCGACGTCGAAAGTGACGCTGTAGAAGCCGCAGTTTAGTTGGCCTAACGACAAGACTCGGTAGATGGACCTGGCTCTCCCCTTGAACGCCACAGGTGCTTGCGACATTCGCTCCACGATCCCCTGGGGTGGGGTAGGGATATACATGCATGCTGAGCACAAACCCACAGCAAAAATGAGAAACACTGCCTTGATGGTCGCTTTCTCCATCACTGTATCGTCTATCCTGTGGGAGGAACACTGAGAGATCATCATAATGAAAATTGTAGTTTGACAGCTGGAAAGGCCTACTTTTCGTCACTAAAAGAATAAACTCGTTTGCCCCTCATTTGCAAGGAACCTGTCTGAAATCACCCTCGATTACGTACATGACTCCTCGGAACCCAGTAATCTGGAATGATAATCTACATGCTCAAATGTAATTGCATGGAAATTAACCAGTGACGCATTTTCTATTGATAATTTAATCATACTTACCGAAGTTTCTGGCGGCACTTGGAAATCTGCTCTTGATGTGACAGTTACACTGACTATTTATAGATTTTTTGTCACGTAACAAAGTGTCCGTGTTACAGTTGATAATGTAGTAACAAACGGTATTATCCGTCGACAGGTGATACATTAACGGTCAAATAATTCTACGACACTTTCTGTCAATTTTTGACACGGATTCTGTCAATCTGTGAATAAAATATTTTCGGTTTGTGATACATTATCTGCTGGTTCCAACATTTTCAGTTATGGTTGGCCATCATTTTGTCGTTGGAAAATTAGGAGGGTCTCCAAACTGACGGTTCGTGACAGCCATCCAAAAAGAAAATTAGCTTTCCTTCTCGATCTGTTGTCTGGGCTGTGGATGTTGATAGAAAGCTGCCATAATCAGAGCATTACCCTTACTACCTGTCTCGTATTTTTGTTCATTTTAATTAAAAGTGGTTGGTTTTAAGATGCAGTAATAGTTGTTATGTGGCACATGTGCTCCTTTTCGTTCTAACTCCGATGAAAGAAGTGACAAGTGACATTTGGCAACTACTCTTTAAGGAGATGTGATGTCAAATTATGTCGGAAATCGTCACAGAGTAATAGTGGAGCAATTCTTTATGTTGGCCTGACATCAACATGCACAGCACGTGGATATCACTCAGTGTGGTTTCAGGCGGCTGGCCGGAACCGTCAAGAACCCAACTACTTCCGCGATTTGAATCTAATACTTGTTAATTTTAAATATTATTTTTCGGGATACACTTACAAAGACACTTTATTGACAGAAGACACATTTAAACATTAGAAACAAAACATGAAGGACGCAATAATTAACCAGCTCCCGCTGGCTTGCCCAAAAGAAACATCATGGTTTGAAACCATGATGTTTCTTTTGAAACTAGAAACCATTGGTTTCTAGTTTCGAGCTGTTCTAAAACTCTGGTTAAATAGGAAACAGGAAATAACTAAAATTAGAAAATGATAAATGCAAATACTCAAGGAAATAAAACAATATTAACGTAACATGATAACGTAAAATACAATTATTTCAATTACTAAAGCTATGAATAAAACAAAATTTGAAAGTAGACTGAAATAAGCATCTCAAATTACTTTAAGTGTACATACATGTATGCGAAAAAATACCTGTTCTGGTAAGGCAGAGGAAAACAATGGGAAAGAAAATACACGGGCATACAACCCTAAAGTGGTTGACCTTACGGCATGAAGCTGGATATTCTACAAGACATGGATGACTGAGCCCTGGTTAAAGAGGTGGTCACGTAAAGAGTGAGAAGTAGAACGTACGTACATGAAACAGTTGCGTATAGGAAAGCAATCATGGAAGACGTCGAAAGATTGACTATCCGCCTTGAACAAAAGCCCCCCCCGTCATAGTTTGAAAAGAGCCATTCTGGTAAGGGAGTGTTTGTTTTGTTGGTAGCGACGTGCATGCAACGGATGCATCTTATTGTCTTCGTGAACCAGCGAATTGGAGTTCCTTCCGAAGGAGCCTCTGTTGCCAGGAAAACTGCGCTCTAGCTCTCTTGATCCAGCGCGGGGCACAATGCTGTCCATCGGACCGAAGTTAAAAGGCCTGAGTTTCAGATGTCATACTTTTTATGGGCCATTTAAATGTAACTTATTCAAATTTAATGGTAATTGGACCTTTTGAATCTCATAATCCACTGCCGGCCTTATTTTTTATGTATTCTATGGCAAAAGTAAGATAAATATAGATCCTGAGATGTGCGATTGATGTTAATAATTTTTTTTTCATTTTGGTTAAAACGTACTAGTTGGCTAAGTCGTGTTGATATAGCCCAGCAGGTTGAATGGTGGCAGGAAAGCTGTTCTTGACTGGTGTGGTTAAAGCCACCTTTCCGTATGTACATGTTTTGGGTGTGTTGCGTGCACGATGCGTTCATGCGTTTTATTTTCACGGACACAAACATCGAGTCCATTCACATAACACACGTGTGCGTTGCGTTCGGCAGTCAAAATCGCCCAGGAGCGATTGTGACGGATACGCAACGCTTGGCGCAAGTGTTGACGCGCAGATGGAAAGGCTCCTTTATTACGGTTGGGTGCGACGCTCTCTTTCGATTTGTAGAGTCCATTTGATTTATGTACATTTAATGAACATTCCAAACTTTTATCTTGTTTTCCTGCCTTATTAGGCATTGCTCAAGAATCATTCGAATAATGACATGAGGTTGATAAACTTGTTTGGTCCAGTGAGCCAGTATGGTATTGCAATAGTGCATGCTCAGTACAAGGCCACTCGGAAACAGCTAGCTACATGATAGCCGATCAGCGTAGCCATAGGCCTTTTTCCAATACTCAACTTTGTCTCCGTCTCAGGCTTCGTGTAGGAAACCAATCCTCGATTGTGGGCCTAAAGCGTTCAACTTAAATTAAAATACTGTAATGTTTATCTCTTTTGCATCTTACTTGATGTTTTGTGGCACTTTCAGACTTACTATTACACTTATAACGTCAAAGTCAGGAAGTAGAAAAACAGCTTAAGCCTGAGACGGAGCCCAAGTCTAGTACTGGAAAACGGCCATAGTACGCTAGCTCGACTCAATCGCGCACTTCGTTCGTTCGTTCCCGAACGATCTTGGCTTTACGAAACACCGAAAGAGCTCAATGGGTTTATATAGGTCAAGCTGGAAGAATTAGTAAACAATTGATTTTTCAATTAATCAACAGTTGCTTTTTTACATAAGTCTGCTGGTTGATTCAACGTGTGACTATATCGATTTGGCAATTTTTGGGGGCTTAATGTGAAAGCACAACTGCTTGCTGTTTTTAATATTAATATCATTAATAAGCAGATAGTCCTCAAAGGCAAACTAACGAGGCTAAGACAAACAACAAGCATTTCTGACCTATTTTCTTCAGAAAAAGCTGATGCTTGAAATTTCACTCACGTTTTTATTACAATGGGTTGGTTTTGTTCAGTGGCCAAATGATTGCATCAAAGAAAAGACTTGTCATTTAAAGGCAACTAAAATTTTGGCCTCTGATCTCGCATTACTCATTTTTATTCAGAAAAACTGTTTACTTTTATTTACTTGGTGATCACACCCTCACGTCAGAGGCTCAGGTCATGCAACTGATGACTAAGTCGAAGCCACGTCATCTTTATCAGTCACGCGCAACAGCAATAACTTTGTACGGAACGGGTGCAAGCGTCAGTGACTCGACCGCTTTGAAGGTGATCGTAGCGCCCTCTGGCGCCTTGAAGGTGAAATGATGGAGGAGAATTGTGAACACCAGAAACACCTCCATCTTGGCCAAGTTCTCGCCGAGACAGAAACGACGACCTAGGAAAAGGAGGCAATCAAGTGATCTAAAGAATGAAATGACATGAAAGAATTATTTGTGTACATGAGTTTGAATAAACGCAAAAAATGCAACTTGGCATCTCGGACTGGTAGTCAAAGATGTACCAGCCGGGCCCCGTGCTCGTTTAATTCTGGATTACTGAGATATGTTTTCTTACCTACACCAAATGGTATAAATTTCTCCCGCCGCACAAGATTGCCGTGACGGTCCAGGAATCGCTCCGGTCGAAATTGCTTTGGATTGGTCCATTCACAGGGGTCATTGAGGACTTGCCAGAGGTTGGTGAGCAGCAAAGAACCCTTTGGAATGTGGTATCTGGTGGAAATGCCGAGCACGGGAAATCGATACATATTTGAATTATTTGGCAGCCTTTGCAGAAGCAGAATTGATACCTGACTCTAGGAGGATGCCAAAATTTTAAATGTTTTAAATGGGAGGTATGTCTTATTCACGTTTTTCTCTAGGAGATCACTATTAACTCTGTCGGTTGATCTGGCTTGGAGATTATGACTTTTCTATAGGCAGTGAAAAGATATCGAGAAGGAAGTGGCTTGTAAAATGGCATTCTTTCAGTTTGTTAAATCTTGGATGAAAATTTCCTGTACAATAAAAATTTTACCCTGAAACGGTGGTGTCCTCCATGCATTTATGAGGCACGCCCAAGGGGACTATGGTGACGCGCTGGATCTCGTGAAGTACCGCCTGAGTAAAGACTAACTGTGGCTTATCCGAGAGCTGCGGTGGTCTGTCCCGGCCAACCACACTGTCCAGTTCCTGCTGCACCTTAGCCTGAATTTCAGGGTAGGCAATCATGTAGAGCAAAACCCACTGGAGGGTGGTGGTTGTAGTCTCGGTTCCAGCCCCGAACAGGCCCGACACGGAGTGGAACAGACTGATAGGGTTCATGAAAGTCGGTTGGCCTTTGCTGTCTTTAGCCTTCATCTCGCTGTAGAAAGCGTCTGTATAATCTCGCGAGATCTCGGGTCGGTATCCCTTCTCATGTTCTTTCAGTAGCCTCCTCATCATCTGTTCAAATGCCCGATTGATGGCCATGTGCTTTTTCACAATGGGAAGAAATGTCAGTTTAGCAAATATAGGCACAAACTCGACAACTCCCCCCGCCCCACCAAGCTCATGCGACTTGTGGAGCGTCTCAAGAAGCTCTTTGAACTTCTCGTCTGTGTACTCAAACCTGCTACCGAACACCAAGAAGCAAATGATGTTGGCAACAGCGTTCTGTAAGAACTCTTTGGGATTAAAGCTCTCCCGTCCCTGCTTTTGTATCTCCTTAAGAAGATACCGAGCTTCAATGGAAATCTGCTTCTCAAAAGTGATCTTTCCCATCCCCAATTTCCGTAGTGCCATAGAGGAGAAACGTCTCAATTCCACCCATGGCGCACCAGAGGCGGTGAGGATACCTGAAGGAAAAAGTAAGAAAGAAATGAATTTAAAGGAGGAAAACATACATCCACCTAACGCTGAGAAGATTGAACTTCTCCAATAGCGAACAGATACTTGAGTCTATGCTTATAGGTCTGTATAAATAAAATTCCGATTATGGCTGAGACTGGCTCGTTCATTTTGACACATACTTCTACCTACCATGACCCGGTAAAGTTAATTGGCCGATTTCAAACGAAGGGCGTCCACTCAGTTGAAACTGATCACAGGCCTCTTTGATGACGTCATAATTATGCAATACCACCACTAGCTGATTGGCTATTTTTAAGCAGAATACGGGCCCGTACCTGTTATAACCGGAATACAAAAGATCATTAAAGATGACAAATTGACCCTAAAACAGTCACTTCCTGAACAGAGCCGGGGTGGAGAATTCTGTTTCGATTCCTTCCTATACAGTTTAGACTGTCATGATTTTTTTTTCAAAATTTGGCGGGAATATTTTACACATTAATACCTTTTGTGTGTACAGAGTTTCTGCTCAGTACAGGCGATTCACAATAGTGTGCCTCCAAGAGTTTGCAACGCATTGACCAATCACAGTGCGCGAAATCTGTCGACCCAGTGCGCGTTAGGAAAAAGTCGACAGATTCCGCGCACTGTAATTGGTCAAGGCGTTGCAAATTCTTGGAGGAGTACTATAATTGTAAAACGCCCATATTGAAATGGCATTTTACAGTTGTGGTCATTGCTGTTTCACCCCTCTATTATGCTCAAGGAAACTTTTTGGCCCTCTTTTGATGAAAATCCCACTACTCCTGAGAATTTCCTGTCAACCTTTTATTTGTGACACCATTATTGTTGCGAGGACAGATATGGCAGTGCGGGAGAATTTTTCCGCCGACAGAATTTCTCTGGCAATTTTAAGAGTTGAATTTGAAATGTTTAGTGTCCAAATCTTTTCCCCAAAACCTCACTTCTTGCCCATCTTGGCGAAGACCTCATGGACAGGCTCCTTGATCCTCGCCAACTGAGGTATGTAACCGAGCAGTGGCCAACCACGCGGGCCAGGGGGAAGGTTCTTTGACCGGCTGAAGAACCACGAGAGGACGGTGAAGATGACGAGACCAAGAAGAGCTGAGAGAAGGTTGACGTGACTCCAAAGGCCAGCCAAATCCATGCTTCAAGAGGGAGTCTTATTGCCTGACGATCCACAGAAAAATTACCATTTATGACACTTCTGTTTCCGCTTGTCGTACACCGGACGTCAACGCCAGAAAATTATTGGAGTTTCAGCGTCATTTAAAGGACTACTGATAATGTTAACTCCTTCAACATGACATTTTCGTTCGTGTGTGCCGAGGGCTTTAGTCCGATTGCAAATTCCAGGTAAAAATGGCAGGCAGGCAGCAGGTACCGCATGAACTTTACACTTAATAAATATGCATGTCTATACTTCCATGCGTGGTTGCAATGGATACGTCCAAGTTGAACTTTGGGCTTGTTTAGAATGAAAACCAAGTACATTGTTACCGTGTTGTTTTACTGGTTCCAAAGTGCGTAAGCTGACCTATAATCGAACCTTTATCAGAGGAGAAGGCGCGATTCTCTGGGGAAGGTGAGGTTGGGATCACAGGGCTGTATTCGTCAAAATTTGCCCTCAGCTCTCAAACACGGCTTGTATTTGCCATTTTGTCTGCCTTTCGCAGTTAGATTTTCAATTTTCAATATGACGTTTATTTCCATGTTAGTGAAGATCAGGAAAGTAAATAGATGACTCCAAGATTAAATGTTATATCATACGCTTGTTTTGATTCTGAGACAGCAAAGAAGTATTATGCCAAAGACCCTCCAGATTCCTGGTTCATTAAATCAAAGAACTGCAACCCCATGACGACGCAAGGAACGAAACCCAGATTTCAAAAACGGGGTTGCCTTGTCTGGCCCTGAAGAGACATAAATTCACGACTTTTTTGCCACTTAATAAATTTATTCACGACTAGTTGCGAACATTTTTCACGACCAGTTGTAAATATTTTTGCGACGTCGTGAATATTTTTTTACGTCATGAATAAATTTACTACTCGAAAACGTTGTCATGAATATTTTCCCACAAACTTGAAGGGTCTAATATTGACCTGACCGGGACGCCAAGGCTTTTTAAGGGCTTCCAAAGCTACGGCTAAATTCAAGATACATATGTATGCCTTACCAGAAACAAACCATGTGGAAAGCAAACCTTGTTTTTCTGAGTCATTTCGTTCCCAATGCCCTTGTTTTTTTTTTCTAAATGCACAGCTTCACTGTTCACTTGGCATCGCACGTAGACAGCCATGCAACAGTACACGTTCATGGATGATACATAATGCTCAAGGCCAGGCCTGGCAGGCGCTGTCGTTGTATTTGCCGTTTGTTATTCGCACAGTTACCTTCCAAAGCTCTAAAGTAACAGAGTCAGCAGTTGGAGGTCACGGAAGCCAACATTTTAGAGGGGATCTTCCAGTTTTGTCAGATTTTCCCTGACATTTCTCTTCGTGTGAATAATGAGGAATACCATAAACGCTCTAATGGGAAAGTAAAAACCGTATAGTTGAGAACGTAAAGTTTTTGTTTGTGCCTTTTAGTCGGGCAATTTGACGTCATTGTACATGTAAATGTACGTACGTATCAGTGCAATGCAGTAAAAGTCAACTCGTATCCAAATTCACTTGTATATCCAGGTATGTGTGCGTGTACGTGTATACCATGCCCAAAATCCGGAAATTTCATTTTGACCGCTGCCAATGAAAAATGGTCCCAATGAAAAACAAAGTGAATTAAAAAATAAGTTTTCTACCTATATAGAAGTAATAAATGTTTTTGTTCATAAGAGTCTTTCATGTGGCATCAAAGGTATTTGAAGGTAAACCCAGCAAATTTGTGAAAATGAGACACAAAGTACGTAAAAAAACGATAATTTTTTCACAATTATCCTTTATCGTAAAATTGACATTTTCCACTTCTTTGAATCTTTTTCGAAGATCTTTCTTACTAGAAGCTATGAAATACCACCATTTGATAGATTTTTGGCGATTTTTTATACACAAGATCTTCAAAGGAAATTGCAGTACAAATCCCTCACACGGGTCACCATCAATTGCGTTTTCTGCCAGAATTTATAATTTTCATTTTCAGGCCAACGACCCTATGTCACTTTTGGGCGAATACACAAACTAAATGCACGTACATGGGCACCGAACATACGTACTTGGCAGTTCTTGTGACTTCAGATTACACGTTACATCATTCTATTTATAATTTATAAAGCGAATTTCTGTGTTCGGGGCGGTCCCTCATGTGCAATAGCAGAAAGACGGCCAAGTACGCATTCGACAATCTCATCGTTCCAAGCAGTGCACATAATTCACCAGACTTCGCTGGACTTAAGGTGAGTCTAAATGCGCCACGATTCTCTGTTAACACGCGACTATACTCTTGATAATATCTGTAAGTTTACATTGCCAAGTCCTAGGGAGGTTTGATGTTAAATTTGTTGCTACTGTTTATCCCCAAAACGGGGTTCGACTTCTGCCCCACTCCACCATGACGTGGGAGCAGGGCGGACATCGGACCCCACGGTTCTGGGGGTAGCAAATGTTATCGTTAGTCTGTACGTTGTTGTTGCAACAACCTCGTACAAACATGTTTGGTAGAAACAAACATGCTGTTATATGCATGTTGGGTGCATACAGTCTGTTGACTTGATTGGTGAGCAGGGTCAGCAAGGTTAGATTCTGTTACATGTAGATGAACTCGTTGGATTTAAAACAAAACAAGCATATGGGAATAGCAACATCAAATCACCCTTTATTTAAATCCTGAAAGAGAGACCCGAATTAAAGAGAGTGGATTCTTTGTGGTCGAGCTGGAGTCGCAACCCCTGTACATTCATTAATCTATAGATTAGAACAATAATTCTACATTTTTACACAAGTGTTTGGTCCAAGAGTTGTGGGTTCAAATCCTATCAGAGCAACTTTCGGACTACACGGATAAGTGTGAGGGTGCAACCCAGCATATAGTATTAACATCCCCGACGTAAAGCCAAACTGTTATCATAGTATGCTGTGCATGTTGCAAGCTTTTTGTCCGGTTATTTCGCTTCTATCTCATAGAGCTTTGAAGAGGTAGACGATGGCACAGAGCGAGGAGTCTGCGTCAGTAGTCCTGAGCAAGATCAGCCGCACACATCTGGAGTGTGGAATTTGTCATGAGAGATACCAAGTACCAAAATTCCTAGAATGTCTCCATAGTTTTTGCGAGCATTGCCTCACGACTTACAAGAATACTGTAGCCGAGGTGTCTGCGATGATGCCGTGTCCAGTCTGCAGGAAGAAGACCAAACTGCCCCTAGACGGAGTGGCCGGTTTGAAGACCAACTTCCATCTGATGGGAATGGTCGAGGATTTCACTCTCCAGGAGAAGCTAACGCGGCAGAAAGGATTGAAGGTACCTTGCGATTTGTGTCAGCATCGGCAAGAGGCGGATTCCAGGTGCATGGACTGTCCCTTCTTTCTGTGTGTCAACTGCCGTCTGGTTCACCTTCGCATCGAAGCTACCACCAACCATGAAGTCTTGGCACTAGACACCTTACGGTCTGGTATCATGAGCCTACGGCCTAAAGTGAAAGATGACCCGCCTTGCCAGAAACACAGAGGGGAGAAAAAGAGGTTCTTCTGTGAGACCTGCCAAGTGTTGATCTGCAGAGATTGCACAGTGGTTGAGCACCGCGAAGCAGAGCACAAGTTCACAACCATAGATGATGCCGCTTCCCGTTTCAGGGAAGCCACTCAGAAGCTGATCGACAACGTGGAAGAAAGCTGGAGGGCGCATAAGGAAACCAAAGACGCACTAAACCAGATGGCTTCTGACTTACATAGGTCTGCATCCCTGAGCTATCAACAGGTGATTGATCGGGGGACCAAAGAAGAAAGCAAGATTGCTGATTACGAAGCGAACATCCTAAAGGATATCAACCAACGTGAAAATCTTCGGAAGGTAACATTTCGAACAAACGGGATTCGCTTCTTTCAACCGAGCAAATCAAAATCAGCTGAATCACTAAGAACAGGAAAAGAAATTAAGCAGGAATACTCCAAAAGCTTAAAAGAGAAGTTCGTCAAAATTGACAAAGCACTTGATGAGCTAAGTCTCAATATCGAAACGTTACTGAAAACTGATGGGGATATACATTCCCTCATTGAAATTTCGAAAGAAGAAGCCCTAAAGAAAGGCAGCGATGACCGCTCGAAAGTTGCTGCCGCCAGAGACAAGTTGCTGCTTCAGGTTAGAAGCACAATCAATCTGAGACAGCAGACGATCACAGAACTGAGCAAGATGACAGAGGGGCAGATCCTGCGCTTACGCCATGCATTGGACACCGCTGGAGATGTGGTTAAGTCTGCCTATAATGTCGACTTTCTTAATCTTTACTCTGTGATTGACAGCGATCTGGAAGACCTTCTTGGGGAGAGCCCTCCTAACCTTCATCCCGGCTATCCAAGGATTGAATTCAAGAGCAGTGATGGTACTGGATTGGGGGAGGTAGTAGTCGGTGCGACGTGGAGGTGGAAGGTATTCTATCGGGACCCGATAGAATACTGACGTCATACTCGTGTTATGTGGGAACAGAGAGCGCGATAAAGAACATAACCATAGCCACCAATAAAGCAGTGGTAGAGGGTCTATCCGGCGTCTGGGTTCTAGACATCACAAACAGATCATGGAGAAAGGCAGTGAACCAATCAGGTAATGCATAATACATGCAGAAAAAAAAAGTTTCCTAAGGACGAATGAGCTTTAGTGAACACAGGCATACAATGACAATGATCTCGCTTGATGTGTTTTTTACTGCTTTGATTATTCACACAAATTGTTTACATGGATTAGGCCAAAAAAGTCTTTCGTCTGTTGCAGCGAGAGCTGCAACAGCGCCCTCTGTTGTCGCACTGCTTCAACATTTTTCTCTCAAATTGTGACCCCCTGACCCTTGCGTCATATCTATTTATAGCAGTGGGCGATGCCTGGCCTAAGATAGAAGATTTTTATCAAGAGTCGTCAATTTTTGGGCAGGGAACCTGACTACCTTTTTCTGGGCAGCTCGATCTTTTACTCAGGGCGATAGATCCCGCCGAGATTGATGTTGAACAATGATAGCAGACTGTGGATACGAAGTTGTTTGTTGTCAACTTATAATCATAATAAAGCTGGTCTGGTCTCATGACTCGACAATGTGTGTCTGCAATAGTCTGTACAATCCACCCCTGGGGGAAGGGGGAAAAAAAAGAAAAAAATGTTCCGTCGCCGCATCAATTCCGGAACATAAGTCTAATCAGAGACAAACTTTTTTTCTGGCGTTACCCTGGGCTCAGTCCAGAGCTACAATAATCACAATCGAAATATGCAATTCAGTTAAAAAATGGCTAGATTTAAAAATCTCTGTTAGTGGGAAATTTGAATCCATCGCATTGGTTATTCAAAAATCACTGCAAGACGCGTACGCTGTTAAATTTTAGATATTGGCTTGTTTGTCCGTGATCCCCTTTCAAACATCGAATGTTTCATTGCGTTACAGACGTAAAAAGAAAGCATCCTCATAAAGTTTCAGTGTAACATGGGGATTGTAATACAGCCGTTAACGTATGCTCGGGAAAGAGAAATGGGCTGGGAAAACTATTATGTAACATCTGAGTGATTTTTCTTGTTTATATATACAGGGGAGAGAGTTGCCACGTTGCCTGACGACTCTATTGTGCACATGACCGCTTCCAATGTTAGCTTGTTTGATCCAAATTTTTCGCGTCGGTCCACGTTTGATCTCTCCCGAACAATCAAGATTGATGAGTCTGACACTGAGCTTGGTCGGCCAGTCAGCATTACATACTACAAGGATCAGCTGTTGGCCATTGGATACACTAACTGGCAGGGAGTCTTGGTACACGACTCCTCTACTGGGAAGGTCATCCGCCAGATACCGGTCGGCATAAAACCCGAATTCCTGACTTCTACCAGCCGCAGTCGAATACTCGTGGCTGCACGGACCCCAGCTGTCATCGAAGGGCTCGACAGCAGAGGGGGCACTGCTCTTACCATTCACCCTGTCGTTGAGGGAGTCCCTGAGGGTAAGCAGGTAAGCTGTGTTGGCATTTGCCGCGATAGCCGCGACACCATCTACGTAGCATTGTTGCCAGATGATGTTTCTAAAGTCCATGTTCACCAGTACAGCCCATATGGCAATTTCCTAGGATGCTCAGTCTTCGATATTTCACCTCCGGTATGTGGTATCGCTGTGACTGGTAATGATTGTCTGGTACTGGCTGAACGATATCGCTGTAAAGTGTATGAAAGTCACAGTGAACACTGTTAAATCTCGAGTATATTCCAACATCGATTTATCAGTAAATGGAGCTGAGTTGGGTGAATTCGATTAGCTTACACGTGTAAGTCAAACTTACGCGAGAGCGTTCGTTTAGCCATCACGTGATCCTCGTGCGTACCCTGGTGTCAGCCACCACAACCCCGGCTGGCGAGCGGGTCTCTGGAGGATGCCCAAGTGTAATGACGTCACAGATGGACTGTTCGAGCATGGATGTACATGATGAAACGTGGCGGGACTTGGCCTTTTTCCTAGAATGCCTTGGCGAATACACTGCAGCGTTCGATTAGCCTCATTTCGAGGCTTCCCTTGCATGTAACACTAGTGTATTCAGGGAAGCTAATCTATTCAGGGTATTCAGGAAGCTAGATTTAGGTAATCATAATATACATGTACCTGTATAGTTTCGGTTCAATATCCACTGAATATGTTATGTATTTACGTTGCCTAGTATAAGTAGGCCTGTACTCTATGTATATTTAGGGATTATTTTGATAAGAATCTTGTGATTATTATTCTAAAATATGCTGTATTCCAACAGTCAATGCTATTAGGTAGGATAGAGATGCTTAAGTTATGTTGTAAGCATTAACAATAATTCTTACGCTACTTGTAGGTTCACAGAAATATCCTGCTAGTCATTCTTCCAATGACGTCAGAAGGCGAATTCTTTTGAGGTGGGCAAGTTTTGAATTCTGCCATAAGTATCGTTGAATGAGGTTACAATAATTCTAGCCTTTCTTTCTGTTCACATCATTTTTGTCCAATCTATCACTCTTTCATCATTTTCTGTGAAAATTTAGAAGTACACCTTGAACGAGCTTTGATTGATTACAGTAAATCAAAGTAGGAAGATTAAAGAATTATTACACTGTGGATGCTGATCCTTATTTTCAATTGACTGCTTTTCTTTCAAGAATTCTAAGTGGTTATAAAGTTGAAGAACAACTTTATACGACTGGAAGTAACTATTAAAGTCATTAACTCAAATCAGATTATGGAGTTAGGTCAGGCTTGAAATTAGGTTAGATATTTCTTGGTTAGAGCAGCTTCTTGCCTGTATGTATTCTTGATTATACACGTCTTTGCATAAATGTTTAATAGCTTCGATTTTATGATGAGTGTTTTTATATACCAGGCAAGATATGGGATGGAGGGGGTACCCCCCCTTACCTGTCCAATCCCTATACACACTCTAGACTATTGTTACCTAACACCCTCCCCCAGAAGTCTGTTAAGAGTTCCTGAGATTCCGATCAAACAATGACCAACACAAAGGCGGTCGGGGGTTCTCTCCGTCCCATATCTTGCTTCAAATTTGTTTTTAGATTGTTTTGTGATTTGAGATTCATTGACGTTGAACACAGGTTTTATGGTTGCACCATTCCGGCAGTGTCATGCACAGTGTGACGCAGTGTGGTGCACAAACCGTTATGCACGGGTTGCCTAAGAAAAAGTGACACTGCATAGCATGTCCTCTTGTTTTTCCGATCTACAAAAGACAAAGGAGGGAACAATTGTAATAAATGTTTGGAGACAAGCAATGCTATACGAAGGAGAATGCTGCATGCTGTCATTTAAAAAAAAAGAAGAAAACAGACGGTCTCGTCCTCGAGTTCTCTTTAATTGGGTCATTTTGTTGCTCTTGAAGGTTACTAGCTGGTGGCAGACTTTGAAGTCGGTTTATGTTGTCCTTGGAATGCACGAAGGTTGAACAAGTTAACATGGGGCCAGCAATGATTTATTTGCACGGAAACCGACAAAGGATTTTTCGGGATCATAATTACCAAAACACAAGTACGCCAAACGTTTTTTACATTTGCTCTCAAGGACCACTGGAGTCTCAGGGGACAGAGCGATGGCGCTGGTACAGAGTACTTTAATTGAATTGCTTATGGTGGACACCTGCACCCCTCACTCCACAGTCCCCGCCAGAAAGACCTTTCTCCCGCCCTGACGAACCACGTGATCAGAGCTAGAGGTAGTGGCATATCCGGGCTGGGGGCATGAGATCCCCATTCAAGTTTTTTTGCTCTCTGAAAAACGAAAATACAGTACCCACCTATATTAGACAATTAGCTCTCACAGAGCGTTAAATCCTCATTCCCTGGGGTGCAACCGGGGAGGGGTGCCGAGCATCATTAGCTATTTTGGAGGTAAATCCCCCACCCACCCACGCGCCACTCTCTATTAGGATTTTTAAGTTTTTTGCTCTTTAAATATTTTAGCTGAACAGTTTGCTTGGTAAACAAGAAACAGGGCCCGGTACAGTACAACCGTACAATGGACAAGGTTGCATTCTCAGGCTATTAAAACTTGCACAGCAATCACACCTGCTTGTGTTTCCAGAGAAGATTTACGCATAACTGACGAACAATGAAATTCTTTTCCAGGCTTGGTCAGCAAGAAAATTCTATTCAAATATTGTCCTTGGTCTGGCTGGTACTGTATCGCACAATGTGTTCGAGCTGGACCTGTCTCAGCACGGAGCATTCACGTGACCTAATCAATAGAATATCCAGGTAAAGGTTTGCGTAACTTTTCCTTGTGTCCCGCCCGTTCGTTTTGCTATTTAATGTTTGGTGCACCGTACCGTCGAGGTTACTCATGTTGCTGCAGGCAAATAGAGAGGACACGGTAGACACTTTGCCAGGGATTGGAAGGCGCTGGACTGGACTGGAGCATCACAAACTGTCTTAGTATACGGGAAATTTTTCTGGAAAATTGGAGAAAATGGCTGCTGCGTATTACTGCGTGTTGGTTGCTACTCTTCTTCTTGCTGCCGTGAACGGGCAAGTTGGTAAGTCATTCACAATCTTAGGTTAAGATATTTTCATGTAGCCGTCTACCAACCATCTTCAGCTAGTGTAATTGCTATTCTGTCGGGGCATAACTACCCATTTCGATACGCTTTACTGGTCCATGCTTGACTAGACTTTACAAGATGTCACGGGGCGAAATGTTTGCTAGGCAGATTTTCACACAATACACGTTTTTGAATCACAGAACGCACAAAAAAGACAACATTGAGGGAACACGAAGCGGCACGGTCCTGTGTCGGTATCACGTCCGCAGCCTTGAGGGTGTGCGTGGGCGGAGTATTGCGTGATCTGAAAAAGGTGTCTAATGACGCAAGCAGTTTTCTTCTTTTGTGTTGTAACCCTGCGCTGTAGTGTACAAGCACACGATATAAGCCTCGTCAAGAAAACAAATCTTGCAATTTGAAAGAAGAGAAACTTGAACGAGAGAAACTTTGGGCCACTCCTTTTCATAATGCATAAAATATGAGGCATAACTTTCGTTTTCAGAACGTATGGACAGAACAAAGGCAATGTAGGTTTTGGAGTTGTAACGCAGAAGGAACTATTTTCACGGGTGTCCCGATTTCAGATGACATAGGGTAGCTGCACTGACATCTGGGAATGCTTGCAAATTTCATAAACCGTCGGCTTCGTGCTATATCAAAGTGAATCGGCTGTAAAGTTCGACAGTTTAAAGGAAATGGAGAAATGTGCTTTCAATTGAATTTACAGTCGCGTACCGTGAGCATTATTGCAATGAGATCTACTAACGATTTCGACAAATGTGTCCAAAACGATAAACATGCAGTTATTTATCTTGTTCATTTCGTTTTCTCATTTCGTTTTTTTTCTTGTTCGAGCCCTACTGCAAGTTGTTTTCCCCAGATTTGACAGTGCTTGGATTTTGAGCTTGGCACTTTTGACCTCCAGCTAGGGCAAATTTTTATATATTTCCCACGTTTGAGAAAAAAGATGGAAATTATGCCTGGTGTGTTGCGAGACGTTTCCAAGGACAGTTGGAGAAGTCTCCAACTCTAGCTGGGATAGTGTTGGCTTCTGGCGTTTCTTTCATTCATTTGTTGAAGTCAACTTGCCGTGGAAAATCAAGTGATTTAGGGAGGGATGAACATCTCGACGGTAATGAACTGACTCGGATGTTAGAAATTGTTTTGATTCGTTGTGGCGTTTCCACCTCAAATGGCTACAGCAGTGCTTGAACCCCACTGTACAATTTTGTGACCGTTTCTTTCTTTTGAATAGACGACGTAACGACGGATGCTGAGCCACAGATGAACGTGGAAGGACTCCGCCCTCTTGGTAAGCTGCCAATGTCGAGGATATTCTCATGTTGTTTGTCGAATTTACTTTACTGCACGATACCTTGTTAGATCTCACTGCAATGTTTACTTGCATTTTTTTTTCTGTTTTATTGAAGTAGGGAGTATGATTCAGAACGTTCAACTGTGCTCGCTCTGTGAGAAGGTGATCGGATTCCTGAAGAACGTTACTAATAATAAACAAGTCTTGGTAAGTTACACAAAACAAACTTAAATGGACCATCACTTCGTCAGGTTATTCCTGTGAATTTGCAAGCTGTTGTGATTTGTACATGTTCATTATAGCTATGCTTAGTGGCTTTGGTAGTTGAACAGAAGTTGAAGGATTATGTAATCTCTTGAACAGCACACGTGAGACTTTTGTCAAGCGACTCGGCAGCGGCCAGCGTTGGTAGCTTGCATTTGAGACTGGAAACCTTTAATGATGTGAAGGCACAACTCGCAGAATTTTCACATTGTAATTTAGTGAAGGGATTTTTTTAGCAATAACTTGGCTCCTCCATTTGTGCGTATTTTAGGAAGAGCTGGTGGAGCTTTTGTTACCCGTCTGTCAGTGGGCGCCATACTCTCTGCACGGTGATTGCATCGAGATCGTCGACAACATACCAGAAATGGTGAAGAACTTGACAGACATGTACTTGGTGAGTTAATGGTCAATGCTTCATTGCTCGTTATTTAAGAATGAACTCGAAGATACTTTAGGCAACCCAAGACTTTCCGATGGACCTTGGATCCGTGAGAAATTCACAACGCACAGAATCCCTGGCTCTATCCATAGAATTACAAGGGTTTGCCGTAACTTTGTCCAAAGCCATGACAGTGAAAAGAGAATCGGTTGCCTCTGTAGATTTCTATCAAAGAGAAGTGGCGATCCTTTTAGTTCTTCCGTGCAAAATGGTCATTATAGTAGCATTCTCAAATTGCTGACAACTTTTGGTTCCAAACGACTGCTAGCATCCCTCTCCTAACTTCACATAATTGTAGTGTAAATTGAAAGCATTATCTACAATTCTACATATTAATTAATTACAATTCTACACTTCAACAAACCATAGTTTAAACGAAAATAACTGCACTGGTGAAGGGACACGAGGAGTTGGTTTCGAAAATATTTGGGTTGCAACAATCGGCTTATTTTAAAGCGTAGGTTAAGGCGTTATAATTCATTAAAAATTCACACCTGTTTCCTCTTCCAGGACCCCAAGAGGGACTGCGCCTATGTCTGTCCAGAGCAAGAAATCCTGACCTATGAGCCTTATGCCGCTCCCATGGCAAATATCCTGAAGTTGATGCAGGAAAAGAAGCCGGGGCACTAGGAATCGATTGGAAAAGAGGCTATTGGCAACTAGATTACGTTTAGAGAAAGCGACTAGCTATACAGAAAACATGTAGTTCAACTTTGAACAAAATATTTTTGACTACCTTTGAAACGTACGTGCGTGACTTGGGTCTAAGGTTTTTTCCATTTCCCCTCATTTACTTTTTTCTTAAATTTATGATGTAAAAGGGTTCAGAAGTGGAACCTTTGTCACAGGATGACTTTTCTTTAACTTGGGCTTTTATTCTATACTGTGGCTTCAGTTTCACAAATCCCCCCCCCCGATTTTGAGAACTGTTATCTCTTCGGTGCAGTCGATGTTTCCACCAAACGGTTTGTTCTGAGGTCGAGGTTTAAATTAATTTCCTTCTTTGAAGTTTTATTCTCGAGTGCCAAAGATAAGTCAAAACGAAGCTTGGAGAATAAAAACTGTACAACAAATGTTTGGGGCGCTTTGAACAAGAAGGAAGGTTACTTGATGTCGAATGAACTCGAACGAACATGTATTATGCCAGCTATCGATCTATTGATTGTTGCTGTCTGCGCCTAGTCCCAACTTGAAACCACTTGGCAAATTCAAATAATGAAGACTAAAAGCTCGCACGTTTCGGTTACTTTTTCAGCAGATTTTTCACAAGCCAATCGGTTCACCAAATTGATTAATGACTTTTTGATCCCTTAGAAACGCAACTTGGCAAGCTCATTAATTCCATTTAATAACATCGTGGGTTGTTTAATATCCAAGGTCATCCTTTGAGCGGGAAGAGCTGTTGTCCAATGTGCTTAATCGGGGGAGCTCTGGGATATTTCTCATGAAATATTAATTACTTTGAAACTTCAACAGTGCGGATACAGAATAGGCCAGTGTGTTGAAGATTTCCATTAAAAATTTTCTTTGAGGTCTAAAGAGAAACGAGCCTTGTATGTTCTGCTTTGAAGTGGAATTTCCAGGAAAATAATAAAATTGATATGTAGTCGCTTCAAGGCCGTGGTTGTTGCTGGAATGATTGCATCTGATTTTTTTTTTACAACATTCAATGCATGTATCTTTATCAAGCTTTGTTAGTGACTTGAGTGTAGTAACTTGAACACACTGAGAAACTACGTCCACTTTGTAACGGGAATCGAGGGATCGAAAGGCAAGATGAGTTAACTCTCGGAAAAGGGACATTGCAGATATATCGATATAAATGACAAGATTGTATAATGCCCCCCATGTTCACAAACCTTGTTGGAATTCATGCGTTTCCCCCCGATGGTTCAAACCACTTTTTTCGGGGGGGGGCGGGGTCCGGGCAGAACACTCGTCAGCTTTTTATTCTTTTTTTCCCTTTTATAATTTTCAAATTTTCCATGGCACATACAAATTTGTCTTCAGCTAAATGATAAACTTTTACAAGTGGACCAATTCAGCCGTTTTTTAAAGGTAAACTTGTGTCAATTTTAACTGCCAAGCTTCCAGACGTTCTTGAATTCGGGTTGCGAACAGACCGGTATATGGAGCTATACAGAATCCTATAAACCCACGGGATTTTTTTATATGACGTCCGTGTATAAACCGCTCAGCTTGCGAAAAGTGAAGTGCGCCCCCTTGAGCAAATGCGAGTAGTAAACGGCCTGCATATTTGGACAGGATAACCCGCAACCGCGTCCGACGCGCAAGAGGGCATCCTTCGACAACCCCAGGGGCAATTCAGATCATTAAAGATGAAAGAAAGCCAAGTTTATGGACAATTCCATTTCAAAGTGAGGGGATTGAAACTCTCGCTAATTAAAGGTGGGCAAAAGATAAATTTACACACAAAAATTATTATTAAAAATCCCTGGATATTCCGAGGACAAACTACGGTTCTTCAAGTCGATACAGTGCCCCTGACCATCGACTGACCAACGACTATCGAGCAAACCAGTAACTAGTTATGTACCTGTCAACTGCTCACTGTTCCCAGCCACTCAGTGCCTGTTCCTACAAGCCAAGCAAGGGCGACTTTGGGTCACGCAGCCGTCACAGCTGAACGAACGGTTTAAATTGCTGCGTGTGTGCTATCAACTGAACTCCAATATTATTTTGAAGACCACTTATTTTTTTTAGACCTGAGTCCAACCCCTGGATCCCTTAATTTCTGACTCTTTCATGATTTGTGGACAGAGAAGACTACGTGCATGTGAACAATTTTATTCCCGAATGAAAGAAGTGAAAGCTCAATGCCAGCGTTTTATAATTAGTTTGCAACACTGCCGCGCCATTCATTCTAGTTTGACCATGGTTTGACCGACATGTGCATGTGATTGGCAACGCGCCGCGCGTTGCAACCTCTTGGAAGCAACACTATTGTGAATCGCCCGTACGCTAATGCTAAACTGCTCCACAAAATAAAACAGTCTTAACAGAAGAGTTGAACATAATCCCCGCGGTGGATGACAAATACAGGAAAAAAGATAATGGATGACTCGCGGTGTCGTGTTCAATTAGTGCGACAATCAACAATCTCATAATCAAAGTTAATAGAGATCCGAATAACAAGATAAATGTAAAACAGTAACATAATAAAACCCCACTGACCAGCAAAACAAGGGAGATCAAACAATAACCAAACAGATCGTATCCTCAGTAAAATGAAAAGTTAAAAGGGGGCCCGGGGTAGAACGTGGCACTAAGAATGATACAAGCAACCGTGCTGCCACTCAGTAATTGGACACGTCGCGCAATGAGCATTCAATCATCTCAGCTTGAACTATTATTGCTGCAAACTCAGTTGGCAGACCTCCAAAACGGTCAGGAAAAGTCTACAGTACCCTGGGAGATGTAAATCAGGGTGGTAACGTAACTTCTGAGCTCTGTGATCCGATTCGCTCTCTTCAGTAATTTGTGCACGTAGGCCAAAATTGCAGCGTACACATCCGCACGTAGGCCACGCTCGCCGTTAGCATGGCAGGTAATGTTTACATCGGAACGTCCCCAGTATCGACGGTGAGTCACAGTGACCTGTAGTGGGTAATGTAAAAGAGCACAAGGTTGAAGTTCCCACACAAGTCGTCGTGGACTTTAACGTGTGTTGAGCGGTCACGAAGTGACGACCCTCTGAATTCAACGAAAGCTGCGGTGAACATTTCAAAGAAATCCATGCATTAACCTGCAACTTTTTTGAAATGACATCGAATAGAGGCAGTTGGGATCCATCTCAGCTCAGGCAGTACCCGATCCCATTAGAAGACATACCCAGACTGGACGTTAACGACCCAGAAGTTGGGCGATGCATCTCGCAAACGGTAACTAAGTACTGTATCCTTTTCGTGATAAAATAGCTAGAGCGGTCGATTGCTGCGCGATCGGTCGATTGTTTTACCCGGTCATGCTTTACACCAGGAACAGATCACAGTTTCTCGCATTTCACGATTGTGTATGATTGTTTTGAAAAGAGAAAGAAGTTTTCATACGAGATTGTAAAGTAGGCCTATGCCATGGCATGCCCACGGAATCAAATACATTTATAGGCCTACCCTCCATGCTCACAGTCCCTTGCATGTCACAGTCCTACCCCAAGAATTGTGGGGTTCGTCGTCCACTCATTTCACTCCCACTTGCGGTGGATGACAAACCTTGTAGTTAGTAGCGATTGGCTATACCCCCAGAACTGTGGAATCTGATGTCTACCCCGCGCCAACGAACCCCGCTTTATTCCATGAACCCCACAGAAAACTTATTTGCCATAGGCTCTACGTGACATTTGACAGGTCTTGAACATGGATTTTGTGGCAGTGTACCCTCAGAAATGCTGCTCCATTTCCTCCAAGAGTTCTATGTCATTGGGTCTGAAGTGCATGTGAGCACACATGGGACCGAAGGTCACTGCGAATCACATGCGGCACTTGTTCCACACACATTGTTCATGGTGCAACGGCGCGCTCACATGCACTCGGGCCCAACGGCTGTTGCTTGTCATTCTTGCCATTTGTGCATAAATAATGAAGAGCCTTGTAATTGGTCAGTGTGACCCCTAGTGTGCTGCAGCCAACTGCCATTTCAACCGGTCAGCATGGTCAGTCCAGTCATGGCTAAGTATTACACGTTTATGGAGAGTGGCAACAGCCAATTTCCATTTCTTGTGTATTGATCGCAGCCATAGTAAACCATTTGGTCAGTGCTTGTCTTCACAAGTACACATGTGAACCGCATGACTCTCGGACACTGATCAGGAAATATTTGCACCTTTTGTTGAAAATCGGCATGGTTTTGGCCCTTTTTATAAGTTTTTTCTTGGCTTCCTTTTTTATTTTTTCTTTAAGGTATATAAGCTACCATACATAGAACAACCATCACAAAATCCCTGTTCATGCCCTGTTAAACATCATGTACAGCCTATGGCAAAAAAGGCTTGTTTTCTGTGGGAATCTTGAGAGTGGGGCGGATGTCGGACCCTGTACTGCTCTGGGGTAGCAATTGACCATGTTGTCCTACCTGCAACAATAAACATAACAAAACAAGATCAACCAATCTGCTAATCTTGCAGATTCGCTGATCTCTAACATCCTAAGCACTAAAACCATGATTTGATCTGCTGTATAAAATCTGGGCCAAGGTTAATGTTGTCGGTGAAATAAATCAAGTTCCTTTTACCATTCAATGATATTTTTTCTTGGGTCCACTTCTCCGTCCTCTCCATAGCGACCAGTGGTTGTTACAAATTCCAAGTTAGCAGAACCAGCTTTGAAATGGGACCTAGACTACCTCCAAGAACACCTAGGTGAGTAATGGACTTCACTCATTTCTAGAAATTAGGTCCTATTTCTAATTGTTTGCCTTTATCAGTGAAGAAGTTGGACCAGGTCAATGTTGCGTATATCATTAATCGCATGTAATGTGGCGTTTGCCAAAACATGAGGCACAATTTTTTTCCCCCTAAGTTTGGTCTGAATGAAAGTTCAACTCCAACCTGCAAAGAGGTTGAAATCAGGTTTATCAAAGGGGGAGGCAAATTGTCCCCCCCCCACTTGACATGTTGCCAATTTTTTTTTTAAGGAATTCAAAGCACCAGAATTCAAGTTATTTAAATGCGTTCTTATCTAGACGGCATTATATTTTTCTTGAAGTTGTCTTAATGAAACGAAAATCAATAAAGAAACACTCAGAAGTTAGAATCAGCCTTTACTAGGCACAAAAACCGACAGTTGTGTGCTCTGGCCAAGCAGATGATTGTTATCGGTTCCTCCCAACATCAAGTGGTAGTTCTTGCTCTTGTAATGTTCTTTGCATTTTGTTTAAAACCCTTTTGCAATCCAGAACGTGTTCACTGAACCTCAGTGAGCTCATGAGCAAGTTTGCCATGCTGATGTATACACAGTGTATGCATTGTACGTATGTAACATGGCAACAGCTAGTATTGTTGTCAAGTTGATCACAGCTGAGTCCCTTCAAGTCCATCAGAACATCACAAGTCATGTACAATTGAACTATGCAAAAAAGCAATATTCTGTGTGTCATTGTTCATATAATTTGTCTTGCAGAAGGGCCTTGTGACTAGACTTGTGAAAGAACTTGTTGTGGATCCACTTCAACTTTGGCATTAAGATTGTTCTGAGAATGTTGAAGTTTTGAATACGTGCACATGGGTGAATTATATGCTTTTCAACACTCCTTTTTTTGCTCTAGGCCAGGCCACATTCAATGTATTCATGGCAAAGGGTAGAGGTCACAAGTTCATGTACTATGACCCCAAAAGAGCCAAGGAATGCAAGGGCTTTGAGCCCCAAATGCATGCAAAGGACATGACCTTCCAAGAGTTTGTACATCGGTTCCGGTCATCCAAGTCAGAGGACAGTCGGTGAGTGGTAGCAAATAAAAATGAAACTTTCCTCAAACCTTGTTTGTTTTTACTAAATTTTGCGGTAAAATTGTGTGTGTGCAGAATATCTTGCCCTCCAATCATACAAAATGAGAAACCCTTTGTAGGTTCACATTTTACTTTAAGGTCTCCTTTTTTTTGTTCTGAATTTTAAATATCCGTTGCTGTTCTTGACAACAGAAGGTGATAATTTCAGGCAAGCACATGGCACTGTTCAGGAGTTTATCCCAAAATTTAGCTCACTGAAAACATTTGTACAGTCTGTGTGCAGAAGTTGCTCATTAATTTCTATGTCTTGCACTCAATCAATTTTAGTTGTTTTTAATGGACTCTAGCAACAATCTCCAAAACCTTGTCAATTGTTGGTTTCAAAACAGTTTGATACAGGAGTTCTGGCCTTAGATACATGTATATACTCATAACTTCCAGGCTGTATAAGCAAGCACTGTTAAAGTGATGTAATAGTTGGTATGACAACTAGCAGAAATTGTGGTCCTGTGAAAGCTCTATCATTCATTTATCGTAAAGGACACCTCAACACAGTGCAGAGCTGCTAGCTGCAGTCCTAAGCTATCACATTACCTTGCACTTTCCCTTGCCACATGCACTTGCCCTCAACTTCACACAAGCTCCCAGGTGAATTTGGCTACAATGATCAATAAATCATTGACTGTATCCCCCAAACAAATTTACCGCAAGGAATTTCCTGTTTTCTCCCCAATGAATTGAAGGCTTTACCTCCAGCAGGCTCTGAATGACACTGTCGGACCAGCTATAGTCGATGACTTTGTGCATTTCAATTGGTCGTGGGTGACAGCTCAGCAGAGGACACACAACTGGGGCCCGCTGACGTCCAACCTGTTGCTGGTCTCCATGGAGGGTACGTAAACCAGCTAGGGTGCTAGCCAAGTACCAGGCGTACACAAGCCAATTAATTATCTCTGAGCACAAGTGCACCCTCACAGGTGACAAATAGAAAGGCAGGGGTGAGCACTGAATACCATCGGCACTGTGCCAGTAATTAGACCATAGATTTTGGCCAAATGTGGATGTTTCAATTAAATCAATCCAGGTTTTGGGCAGATACAAGTGCACTATAATCAACTTTCATTCACGTATGATCAATCTTTATCAAGTTGCTTAAATATCCCTACTTTATCTTTCACTAAAAGAAAAGACAGTTTACTTTTGTGTGTAATCCTGCTGCCAGTCTTTTCTGTCAGACTCTCCTCAGGGTGAGGTTTATGTACTAACTTCATTCTCATATGTCAGGAAATGTGACACCAGCCCACTATGATGAGCAAGAGAACCTATTTGCCCAGGTACAGGGTTATAAGAGGGTCATCATGTTTCCACCCAACCAGTTTGGCTGTTTATATCCATTTCCTGTCAACCATCCCTGTGACAGACAGAGCCAGGTGAGCCCTGATATCATCCAGGCCATCATTAGTGTTGTAGTTGAGATCTCTTAAGACCATCACAAGACCCTGCAAGACCATCACAAGACCCCGCAAGACCATCACAAGACCCCGCAAGACTATCATTAGACCCCAAAGACCATCACAAGACCTGACAAGGCCGTCACAAGACCTGACAAGACCCTCACAAGACCTGACAAGTCCCCACAAGACGTGCTAGTACTCCACAAGACCATCACAAGACCCCACAAGACCATCACAAGACCCCACAAGACCATCACTGGTGGTCTTGACTACAACACTGACCATTATAAGTCCCTGTAAGTCCATCACAAGCCAGCCCATTGCAAATCTTGCCACATTTGAAATGAACTGGCATGGATGTGTGTCTTTGTCATAGTTCACCCTTCTTTTTCTGACTGCTCTGAAGAACGGACTTGTTACTGGACTTGTGAAAAACTTTTGATCAGCTTGACAATTGCACAATTTTGCTCTGTGGTTCATTTAGTTTAAGTCATCTACACTTGTCATTAGTTGAAGTCTCATCCATAGAAGGTTGTAAATTTTTCTGTTTTTCCGAAGCTCTTGCAAAGCACTTTGCATGCACTGCTGAATGAAACATAATTTGCAAAAGACAGACCAAATTTCCAAACATACATATCACTGATTCAAAATTCTCTGGGCCATTCATACGCTGATATTTTTCTCCTTAAAGGTTGACTTTGAAAATCCAGACTATGACAAGTTCCCAAAGTTCCGCAATGCCAAAGGTTTACAAGCCGTAGTTGGGCCTGGTGATGTTATCTATATTCCAATGTATTGGTAAGTCTACACAGTAGAAAAAAGACCTGAGAATTTTTCCCTATGTGCAAAGCTTTGTGGAATAGTTAAATATTCAAATGCTCCATTTCAAAAGTGTACATTTTTTCTTGGAGAGACTTTAGAAAATTAAAGCATTTCATTCTGAGAAAAAAGATCCATGTTTTGCTTCTGTTTGTTAGTACCTTTGAAAAATCATTTCATTCTGGAAGTTCTGAGTAGTTTTTCATACTGTGGTCGTGGTTGAAGTGTCCAAGGTTGTGGTCGTTCTGATGACCTGATTTCACAAAAATGGAGAATGCATGTAGTTATATCCGTGAATGGAAGTTAAATTATAGATCAGAATATTGAATCACTCCAATTAGGATATCCCTAGAGAAAAAAACAGGATCACAGTTCCCCCTATAAAACATCCACAATTACCTTTCTCCTGTAATGTCACAATCATGCTGGACCTCTGTGTGTTGTGATGGTAGTGAGTGCATAGTGTTGTGATGGTAATCTTCTTATTAAAGATAAACTAGTCATGCATTCAGCATTGGCATGTGAGCTTGCACGTGGTTGAAGCTGCCCGTCGGAATGTATGCGATCACCCCAAACAAGGCGGCGACACATGGTGGTATTGCTTACATTTAGCGCAATCCAGTCAAAAGGTCTATTTAGAATGATGTCCCTCACGTCCAAACAACCCTACTGATGTTGCTTGTGTCTCATTATTGTAATGCAGAAAAACTAGCAAACACTCTTTTTTATACACACATGTATTTTACCTTAACGTTAGCACTTCCCTCAGCTACATTTTAGTAAAGATCAAATAGCTATACGTCTGTTTGATATTGCTAACAGGTGGCATCACATTGAATCGCTCCTAGGTGGTGGAGAGACTGTCTCAGTCACTTTCTGGTATAAGGTAATGTTTCCAATGTTTCTTCAAGGGCAGGTGAATAGCCAGAATGGATGTTTTCAAGAAACGGAGGCAGCACACATAAATTACGCTCTTATAGTCTCTGCATAAGTTCGACCTCTACTTCAACAGGAGAGCTGACAAATATGTGGCTGTGTCTGATTCAGCCGGCTATGGCCAGGGATTGGAGTGTGTACACACTTGTCCATAGGGAGTGGTCGCAGTGGCCTGCCAGTGGCTTTCCATATTCCAGAGTGCTATTTACTTACTGTGACTGTAGCACTATTTGCCGCTGTATATAAGCAGACTTGCAATCTCCTCATTCATAGACATTCAGCTGCCCATTTCCTTGTTATGGGGACATCACACATGTGAGATATAGACGTTGTGGGAACCAAATTTGTCATAGGGTCCAATTTGTGTGCCTGTGACTTGGTTCTGACTTTCCAAACAAAACAACCTTCCCCCTTAACTTGATGCATGATGTTTCATGCATTCTAATTAATTTACCCATGCATACACAAAATCATTTCCTTGGGTTTGGTTAGTAGGTTACAAGTTCCCCAACAGGTATATGCACATTACTTGTGATAAATAAAAACACCTTGGAAGCCCAGAACTCTAATAACATTTATGAGCTCTTTTGCAAATACCAAGTTTTTGAACTGTGGCACGGTAAGGCTGAGGAGTAATTGTAGAACTTTATTGTTCATTTGTTTGTCAGACTACCCGCATACCTCCAACAATTACATACCCTCTATCACCACAACAGAAGGTATGCATCATGAGAAACATCGAGAAGATGCTTAGCGAAGCTCTGAAAGACCCTGATGAGGTGAGATGGAATTTGCTTGAGTTGTCTGTTCATGGCTGGTTGATGTTCCTTGTCATAAGAACTCATTTTCCATTGAACCTTGGAGGGGAATCCTACAACCAGATGCTTTGCTGTCATCGTTTGAAAGATCCCTAGTAGTTCTCAGAGGAATGTCTCATGCACGTTTTGGTACAAGTTTGAAAAGTTACCATTACCGGTACTATTCTCGTAAAAATGTCAAATTTTCAAAAGAAAGGCAAGTTTTGAATCTTGTGTGAATTTCTGATCAACCTACCGGTAATTACTGAACACTTTGTCTGATTTTGGTGAAGCTTTGCCAATACACCTGTCTGAGAACTGATTGTTTTTGAGTTAATGCCTAGTTGCTGTAAAATTTGTTATTTCCACCCAACAAATGACTGCGTCACCTTGGGAGTAGGATTAAAATTTGGGAGATTGGACGTTCATCTGTCTCAAAGTTTGAAATGAAAATAAAAAATGCAGCAAGGTGAAATTAACTTGTTTATTCTCATTCAACAGATCGGATCATTACTTCACACAATAGTCCAAGGACGGTATAATGATACACATGACTTCATGTCAACAACTTAGAACCCTCAACCTTAATCTGGAGGTACCTGTATCAACCCCAAAAATAACAAAAGCTGTAAATAGATGAACTAATGTCGACACATAATCACGCAAATTATCGTGCTTGTAATATATATGAAAAGCATCTCAGGTTGTTTGTTTGTTTGTTAATGACGTAAGCTGGCGATACTTAAAAATGGATGGTTACACTGCTTCTTTAATACTTAAGCTGTGGTTTCTGTCGTACCCTAAACCGATTTGGTATTCTGATGGCCATACTTATTTGTGGTATCTTTTGCAATTATTGTCAGTTTTGCATGCACGAGTTCAGTCTCTTGAGCATGGCTGTACACTAACTTTAATACTAACAGTAAGCATGTCAAAACTGGTCACTGAAACACCCAGCTGGCTAATAGGCCCACAAGACTGGCTCTAACGTTACATACCTAGTGTGGACTTGTGAACAAAAGATGTCCAAACGATGCAGGAAAAGAAGACGTTCCGTGGACCTAACACGTCCACAGGACGTTTCCCCTTCTCTGAAAAAGAAGTTTAGAGGCATTTTGGGGTTAGGGTCATCGTCGTAAAAGGAAGAGGAACAGTCATGGAAACCTTTCACAAAAATCCAGCTGAAAATGGTGTTCCCAGTTCAAGAAAAAGAGTTTTCTTAACTGCACGAAAAGAAAGGAATGTCCCCAGTAGGTATGTAAGGTACATGTAAGTGTGGGTGAGTTCACAGGGGTGTAAATGTCATAGGACACCAATTTGTACTTCATCCACTTTGGAAAGGGAAGCGAGGAGATTCCAATAACTATTTGGTATAAATGTGCTACAGCTTGCAGCATGAAAACTTGCCTTGCCATTACAGATTTGGGTTTAGTTTAGCACCGAGTGTAAACTGGCCTTTTGTTGTGAAATTTGAGCAAACGAGCAACACAGGCAAAGGCAAAAATCTCTGATTGTCTATAACTGCCACCTACATGTATTTGTACATGCTAATAATAACTGAATCAGTTTGGAGTGCTGAAACAAAGCCTGGTTTAGGGTGTGTTGAGACACGACGGATGAATACAGGTAGTTACTGCAATTAACAACATTGTTTTAATTTGTATATTCAAAGGTAAATTTTGAAACGTTCCTATATCCTTACATATGTGTGTAAGCAATTTCAATGATTATTACTTACTCGTAAGAATCTTATAAATATTGTTTTGAGAATCTTAGGAGGTTCTTCTTGAAAAAAAATGGACGGAATGTAGTCCAACCATTTCTGGTCGAATAAGTTTTTGAGTCCAAGTTTGATGCACAGTATGGTTAAAATGTAGCAGTGTCCAATCTCACTTCTGAGAAATGGGATTTTAAATGTATGCAAGTGCTTGTTAAAGTCTCTCTATTTTTACCACCTCAAATAGAAATGTTCTTGTTTCTGGACCTTAACCGTGTCATTTTACATTAGTTTAAAATGTCCAAAATTCTAATAATTATTTTTCTGCTGAAATAGCTTAACATTAATGTGTTTGCCTATAACGATAGTTTTGCTTGTGAATAGCAGTTGGTATTAGCATCAAAAACAAAAAAGCACCAAAATGAAAATACCACTTTAAATGGCAAAACAAAAATTGAAACCGAAGTCCATTTTCAAGGATTACATGCAAAATTATGTTGCATAGGCCCTTATGGCTTTAAAATGTAAATTTACTGAAAAAGGGTTTCTTATTTGCTGAAGTAATTTCGTCTCAATCAGACTGAATTCAATTTTATGAAGACAATTTAAAAAGAAAAATATGTCATTCCGTGTTGATGCAATTGAGGATGCCTTCTGCATATGAGTTAGTTATTTTAATCTCAAGTTTGACATGACAAACATGGCTTGTTGTAGTGCTAGTCAGTGTGACTTTTTCTGAGCTTTAGATAGGCAGATTTCTATACTTTGTATGTATTGTGCAATGATTTAGATATGTGACGGCAATAAGACTGCTTTTGGTAAATGTAAAGTTATAGTTACCAACATTTTGCAGTAAAGTAGTGGTTCTTTTTATAACTCTAAATTCCGATGTAGCCAAAATTTACCATGCCTCCACACTTGCTGTAAAAAACAAACTAAATATACGAGATGCAGTGTTTGTAAATGTTAAACTCTAATCAGAGCTGTTATTTTATTGTCATAGCAGAAAAAGGGATAGAAAGGCAAGGAAAGCGGCAAGGTATTTTGTTTGTATTGAAACCTTCTGAATATAATCAGAGCTAATTAATTCATATCATTTTCAAAAATTATTTTCTGGAGTGCTCCATGCACTGTTTATCAAGACTCACAACAGACGTTGAGGAATTTCATGTCAAAACGTCAACAAGTTCTTGATAAATTCAAAACCTGCGTTCTGTCATGATTACAGACGAATCCTTGAATTGATTGTAAGCAACAAAAAGAACAGCCCTTGGAAAATAACTCGTGGATTGGAACTATCCACATTTCAAAAGACCCACATCACGTGGTGCGACCTTGGTTTCAAAAAAATTTTCGCGCATGCGTATTTCGCAAGCTTATCTTCAACGTGTTTTTCCGTTCGACGGGTAGACTAATTTTGAATCGGATAATTTCTCCCTTTTACGTGTGCATCCAAATACAAAAACCACTTCACGACATTTTAGAGCAGTTAATGAAGTACAATGTACTTTAGCACAGTATATTGCAACTTGGGACCTTGTTTTCGTGATGATTCTATCTCTGAATCTCGAGTCTGCGCTAGTGTCGGTGAACGTAGACCTGCCTTCACGACATCATGGCGGAAAGCGTTCGAGTTCGTTGATCCAGCCGACGTTCCACCCTATGCAATACTGCTGGCAGATATATCGAGGTGAAGTATGTGTTTCATTATAGCGTATAACGAGATGGAACTGTAGTTAAAGCACACTTGTGGGAACCTTGGGTAGAAATCGTGGGGTCTTGAAGAAGAATTTTAACAAGTGTTATGAAAAATGTACTGCATTATGCCTCCACTTTTTCCATTAATATCTCTGGGAATGAACAAAATTCAATTTTTAACTTAAAAGATCAAATGGCATAAAGCTGCGACTGAAAAATATCAAATCTTGGAAAAGATGTTGAAGATGCACTTTACTCTCAGCAAACTTCGTATCCAGAAAAAAATGGACTTGGCTTGCTTGGGGGGGGGGACATCACCAGTTCGAGGGGGGAAACTTCCAGGGGAGGCAAGGCATTCATTTGGTAAAATTGATCAAGATAACAGTTCTAGGAGGTCAAGTTTGAGGTGTCATTCAAGTAAATTTATTTTCATCCCAGTTCTCTCTTCATTTCTTTAATCTCCCTTGTGTCATTTTTCCCAAGGGAAGGGGAAAGCTCCCCTTATGCCTGTGTAGGCATGTATTTGTTATTTTCTTTTTTCCTCAATCTGGATTTTTTTGGGGGGGAGGGGGCATAATTTCAAAATGTGGTGACACGTGGCCTGGAGCAAGGAAACGGGCCATAATGAGTAAAGAATTTGTGATCCCTGGGTATTTTCCTCTATGAAAAGCTTACATCAAAAATGCTAAGTTCTAAGATGGCGGCGGTCAGCTGAGAGATTCGTGAGCCAGAGAATTGTTCATTAGGGGTCAAGACTTGAGATTATAAGCCAGCATTAATTTCCATTCTTAGAAGAGGAGAGATACCAGAACAATTCAGAGGCCATTGCAACAGTTGAGGAGGGTTGTTGCTTTGAAGAAATTTTCCTGACAGACAGTGGCACTGCACCACAACGTCTTCCAACTGACAGTCCCATCTGCTTTCAGCTTATCCACTCCAAGTAGGACCAAGAGAGGGTGCTGTTTTCTTATCAACAGGCTCCTTTGGTGGGAACTGCACTTGGCTGGTTCACAAACAAATGAAATGCATGCTGCGCTACCAACGATATACACACTCCCCACCAACATGGCTCTTTTCAACCAATTAAGGGGTGCTTCTGTTCAAGGCGAATACCATGTGATTGATGGTGTAAGGCTTGTGGAGCCAACAACCTCTACTGTTCTGTGGATGCATTCATCTTGCCGTGTAGAAAAGGACTGGTTTAATTAAGAATAATTACAATGACAATATGCCGGCCATTCTGTCCTGATTTTGTTCTTGATCCTTAGATCTGGATTCTACGGCTGATTCTGATTTTGATACTGATTTTCAATCTGATCATGATTTTGAATTTAAATTCTGAGCATCACCATGATTGCTGTCTTGTTTCTGATTACCATGATCAACAAACTTTTGAATTGATGTGATATTCCTTTATGAGAGGGAGTAAATAGAATGGCTCCAAATTTAAAAGAAAGGCCTACAAAGAATTTTTGAATTGCCATGACTGAAATTCGACTTTCAACTTGTTTTATAATGATTGTGGCATTACATTCCATGGAAAGTTGAGGTTTTAGAGTCAGAGACTGGCTGTATTTTCACTGAAAAATGACATTTCTATTTCAGAAAATATTAGAGAACTAAAACTTTTGTTAGGCCTGTTACTTTAAATCGTGTGATGAATAAAAGTGAATGAGGCAAGAATGCATAATGATTGAGTGGTCTGGATTTCAGGTTGTGTTAATAGCCATCATCAGCATCTTCAATTTGAAGGCCAGTAACCAGTCTGTTCTGGGTTGGCCAACTTTCTCTCTGCAGCTGTCGTCCACTTGCCATGTCTGCAGCATCCCCACACATTGACTCCATTGATGAGCTGGGCCGGGTGTTGCATGGTCACCAATAGGTGTGGGCTCCCACAACTGATTTGGTACACCTCTTGACCAAGCTGGTACAATCCTTGCCAAGTATCAATCTACGTCGACCTATTCCTCAACACAGCGCCGATCCCCTCCACTCCAACTTTTCTCAACTAGAGCTGTGCCGAATATCCGAATATTCCATCGATTGTCGAATATTCAAGTATTACTTTTCAAATTTGAACGTTCGAATGCAAAATGCATGAAAATTTTCTTTTGTTTTAAATGAGAAAAAATGCACTATGGAGGCTTGTTTCAAGCAGATTCAATTGAAAAGTGTCAGAAATCTTACGATTTAAAAAAAATATTCACTAAACAATTTAAAAGGAACAGACATTTTCAACAAGGCAAGAAGTCTTATTTATCTCTTAAATCTTGCTAAATCATGGCTGGAGATACTCCTCGATGTGAGAAGCTATTATATTGATCATAATGTACAATTGTGTGTGTTATTTCAACTGATTTTGTAATATGGTTTGTTCATTAACAATCTGTCAGTTGGTACGACCGAATATATGGATATTCGATCAAATTGAAGATCAAATATTCAAATAATGAATTATTTGAATTGACTCGGCCCTATTTTCAACTCCTCACACCACCAGCTGATCATTTTCATCTCTGCTCATTCCATCTGCTGGTTGCTGGAAGGACCCCACCCTTTTTGGGCCATGTCTCGCAGCCATTCAGCTTTGAGTTTACACCCACAAACCCA